CCCCCAACACCCTTCCTGCTTATTCTTTCAATATAATACACAGCTGGGTCCACCTTACCACATCCTGGTTGATACCAACTTTATCAACTTTTCCATTAAAGCCAAACTGGACTTAGTGCAGTCGATGATGGACTGTCTGTATGCCAAGTGTATCGCTTGTATAACTGACTGTGTAATGGCTGAAATTGAAAAATTGGTACAAAAGTATCGAGTGGTTCTAAGGATCGCTAAGGATCCAAGATTTGAATGATTACCATGCACACATAAAGGAACCTATGCAGATGACTGCTTAGTACAGAGAGTAACTCAGCACAAGTGTTACATCGTGGCCACAGTTGACCAAGACCTTAAACGAAGAATCCGGAAGATCCAGGAGTTCCTATCATGAACATTTTTTTTTTTTTGGAGAGGTTTTCGCTATAGGGCGCGTGCACTCGCCAGACAGACAGAGAGAGACGGAGAGACAGAAAGCGAGAAATCACCGCCCAGGGGGGATGGTCACGCCGCAATCCCTTCTCCTCCATTCTCCTCTCGGGATCTTGGGCACGCACGCACACGCGCCCAGCGTGAGATTTAAGCCACCGGTCCGAGACGCGAACCATGGTTGACTACTTGGGGGTCCAGCGACATAGCCATTATGCTAACTGCTGGTTCCCCTATCATGAACATTTCTAACCATAGATACAACATTGAGCGGACGCCAGATGATTACAGAGCCCCTCGGTTCTAATTCTTAAAGGACAAAGTTCCTCTGCCTTTCTTTGACCAAATATCTCTGTTGCCAGTTCATTAAACATGCTGTTTGTCATGAATTATTATTCTGTCCGCCTATGTGCTGTGTAATGAGCTGAGTATGGTCAAGTACACTTACTTTTCAATGCTGTTTTGAAAATGTTTGTTTTATTTAAAAACTTGTATCTTTTTATTTTTTAAACTCATTGCATTTTTTATAAATCAGATGTTTAGATGATTGCTTACATAATTTGATGATCATTGTTTTGTATCGATTTGTTCAACATTTATTAAGTTTATAGGACATATTTAAGAAGATACATTTCTGCCCTCAAGAAATTTACATTATGGTAGCAGAGAAAAACATGTAAATAAATAAATACAATAAAAAATAGTACGAGGGTTAAAAAAAAAACATCTTTAGTGAATCAATAAAATGGGGGTGAAAGGCATTGAAAACAACTGTAGATACCAGAGACAGTGTGGGAGGAGGGTCAGAAATGGCAGAGGCTGAGAGGTAGGGAA